TATGCATAAATACATCAATCTTTAAAAATAAAATAAAATACTTCATGCAAGACACGGTTCTCCCGTCAATTTGCTAAGCATTTCTCTGGGCTAAGCACTTAGAAATAGGCCATTCTGATGCCGCCACATGATACTACACAGCTCTTTCCAGTCAACGGCCCTGTCACCTGTGACAGCACTGGGGAGGAATCCTGGCAACAGAGGGTTGTGTGTGCATGGGTGTGCATGTGTGTGCGGGGAGGGGGGGGGTGTCTGCGACTCAGAATCCAAGGGTTAGTGGCCAAGTACCAACCCCTCAATACAACAGGTGTTCAGCTCCCTTCCACTATGTGGATCTTCCTGGAAAATTTAATCCTTAGCTTCCTCCTGTGAGACCCCCCACACACTGAGCATTTTACCATGCCACATTCAATGCAAAGCACTTTACACAGATTCTCCTCGAATCTTCACGAAAAGGAGATAAAAGCATCTTGCTGCTATCCACTTTTATACTGATAGAGCCCAGAGAGGTGGTCACATGCCCATGGCCACAGAGTAAGTAAGTTGCACGGTAGGATTTTAACTTTGGCAATCTGAGTTCAGAGACCAATTCTAAAACTCTGTGCTCCACTTTCATCCCTGCAGGCCCAGTCCAGTCCACTGCCACTGCGTCCTGTTCTCCCTCAGGAGGTCTCCTCTCTCCTACAAACTGCAGTAGCTTATTGGACCCTCTCCTCAATCGCTCCCAAACAAGCAAGTCAATCCTGCGTCAGTGTGTGCTGACGGCCACTGCTTACAGGATGAAGCGGAACCTGCTGAGCACACTGTGCCCAACCAGCCCAGCTTCATCTCTATCACACAGAACACATTCACGACCCCCTGCACAGTGATCCCCAGAGCCGCAGCAAGCTCCCCAATCACTCAAGGCCCAGGTCGCAGCTGACATCCCCCGTGAAGCCTTCCTGGCTCTATCCCCTTAACCCCAGTTCGCCTAGCAGCTCTTGTTACTCTGTACTCAGCTCTAGGCACACACCTTTAATATGGGATGTGCACAGTCATAATTATGCATTCCCAAGCCTGTCTCTTCCAAGAGTCTGGGAGCTCCTCAATGGCAGACCAGATCGCATACATTCTTTGAACTCTCAGTGCCTAGCACTGGGCAAATATTTATTAAAGAAATAAATGCCCTCATTCCAAGGGGCTACCCAAATCAAAATCTAAGGACCAAGATCTCTAACTTGTGAGTAAAGCCTATGCACTTGTGTGTGCGTGTACGCACGCGCGCACGCACACACACAGCAAAGCAAAAGGTGGGAGCCCCCAATGCTGGGTGTGCTAAGTCATCTATAAAGCAGGCCCATTTTCTAGGTTCACAGGAAACAGAGACGGCCCTGCTGGACAGGGGACCTGGCTGGGCTGGTCTGGAAACCTACACATCGGGGCAAGCCTGGGGTGCTGAGGAAACACTGAGGTCTGACTTCCCCTGGAAAAAACTACAGAGTGCTTCGGCAGCATATACACTGAAACACGAGAGACAGGAAACACACAGGCAGGGGCGCTAGCTCTGGAGATATGAACATGTGCTCTCGTCCCTCTCCCACTGCAGTAAACAGCCTGGCCCCTCTTACATGCCTTGGGCTCAGCCCTAAGGGAGCCTCTGGTTTGTCTCCTCACCACGACAGAGGCCAAGTCCCAGTATCACCTGCTGCTGAGCCTACCCACTTTATCCAAGTAGTTTTCTTCCGCTACACCCAACCCAACTATCACCAAAGGTACCACCCAGAGTTGTTATTGTTTTAGTTTCCCTGAGGCCAAGGATCTGTTTTCATTCGCCACCCAAGGGGGCCGAGCATGTAGAAGAGTATCAACTGAAGAGTACATGAAAGCCTGGGGCTCCGAAAGGCCCCAGAGACATGCTTGGCTGCCATTCGCAAAGGCTCCTCCTGAGCCACTGTGCCCACAAAGATCCCTACTGAACCATCTCACCCCAGAAGGGGAAACTGGGCAGCCAAAGAGGCCAAGACTGTAATGTGGTCTGATTATGAAGATTTTTCCTCACAGAGGAGCAACGCAGACCACAGGGCCTGAGGCCCACTCACAGCACAAGCCTAGGGGAGTCATCTTGGGATTGGCCAGTCAGCCAGTGACTTGAGGGCTGGGTCCAGGTAAGGTGCAGTCACACACCAGCACTGTTACCCGTGGCACAGTCCTACCCTGTATTTTCATTCCCTCATTAAAATGGACTAGTCCCAGGGCCCTTGTGACAATTAGCCAAGGAAACATGAAGAAAGGGCTCTGTAGCACTCAGCAGGCAGTCTGGAACTGCTTTGTATTCACTTATGTCACTATATGCAACATGAAAAGCTAAACACCAGCCTGGTTGCCAAGGTACCACAATGACAACTGGCCACAAAGCACTTCCCCATCCCTCTTTTGTGGGGGATTTTCCCCATCCCCCAGGCGCCCCGAGATCAGAAGGCGCAGTCCCGCTTCCCAAGTGGAAAAGTGAGAAGGCAAGAGAGGGCAGGAGGCCAGAAGAGGTCTCCTACATGAGTGCTGTGTACTTTCACTGCACCACACCAGTTCCCCTTCAGGGCCAGTCAGGTTACCCGTATTGTGTGGTACCCCGGCAGGGTGAGCCAAAAAAGGTCAGACACCTGAGGAATTTGGGTAAGAGGCCAGGTGGCAGGAGACCCGGCTGGCAACCCAACTTTCCTCAGAGCCTGCACAGCGGAACTGCGGCAATCAGAAGGCCCCGACAGGTGTGCCCATAAGCAGGCACAAATAGGGTAGCTTCTGTGGGAGGTTCCATGTGTAAGGTCTCAACTCCACATGAGATCTACCAGCCCTTTCACCCAGACCTCTCAAATGCCAGCTAACGATAGATCACTGAATCGGTACCCCTCTGGCTGGCCCAATCCACAGGGGCTGAGGTCATCAGGTCCTCACATTCTTGCCTCCATTGCCCAAAGGTCTGAGACACTATGGACTAGATTTCCCTCACCCCCTGCTGTTCAGATCCCAACTTACAAACAAGAAAGTCATACCCAGGAGTCAGATGTGCAAATCTCCATATACTTAATCTACATAGACACTGTTTTACAAGGTAGGTGGGTGATCGAGTGATGGGTTGGGACAAAGCAAAACCATTTTCCTCCTTTCTCTGGGTGGCGCTCTAAGTGAAATGCGACCTTGGTCCCTGTCCTCCTCCCTTGCACCTTCTCCCTCTCTTACTGACACACTCATCCTCCCTCAACCCAGTCCAGGGTGTAGAAGAGCAGCCAGAGTTTATTATTGCTTTTGCTACTAACACCTCACATTTATCAAACACTTACACTCTTTCAGGCACATGCTAGAATGTTTCACATGCATTTTATAGATGAGGACATGAAGGCTCAGAGTAAATAAGTAACAGACCAGGAGGTATATAACTAATATGTGGGCTCCAAACCCAGCCTGTCTTCAACCACTATGTTGCACTTACTGCCTCCTGGTCACATTCATGGTTTGAGAGAGTCTGCTATCCAGATCTTTATCTGGCACCTTCAGCCACTGCCACCCATTCAGCAGAGCAGAGGAGATCACAGAAGCAAGGATGGGGGCTGTGCCCAGAGCCTGAGGCCTGGGTGATGTTCCCAGAGCTGTGCAGCTCTCCACAGTATCTCTCCTTCCTCCACTTTGGAATCTGGATACTCAAGTCACTAAAATTTTCTCCCAACAGCTGAGAGTGATGATGGGGGCACAGAAGCAGGAGGCTGCCACTTAAAGTTCAGCAGCTGTGTGGGATCTGGAGTTTGTAGCTGCGGATGCTGCCTCACCACAAGACCGACCTTCCTCCCAATCTCCTCAACCATCTACATCTACATACCCAAGAAGGTCTGTAGGCCCTTCCTTTGGGGGTGTCACTAGCTGACGCCCCCCCCTTCACCACGCAGTCATAGTTCTGAATCTGGCTCTAACATCAGTCTCTGGGGGTCCTTGCAGGAAGCAACCCACAGCCTGAGCTGCAGACACTCTCTCGTGCTCGCACGCAGGAATGGACGGCGGAGCTGGCTGCCCAACTGGGCACAGCACAGGCGCGCGCTAAGTGGAATAGCCGTGGGGTTTTTAAAAATCCCCCGCTTCTTTCTCCTCAGAGACCTGCACAAAAGCAGCCAAACTCAAGCCTGGGAGACAAAAAGGCAGGAAACCAGTAAGAGTAGCCGTTTCTGGCTCCCTGGACACAGTACACAGGCGGCTAGACCCCAACTGGCTGCCTACTTGAGAGGCACCAGGCTGGCCCTTCTGGAACGAGGCTCTTGAGAACGTGCTTCCCACAGCACGGGGCGCCTGACTCCTTTACCCAAAGTTCCTGTCCTGGCTCTGGGTGTCTGCTCGTCCACAGACACCCAAATTCATCTTTAGGACCAAAGAAGGGGGGCAGGGAGGGAAGCAACGACTGCTTGCTTTCAGGCTCTTCCAGACCGAACAGGACCACCTTCCCCCGCTCCCCCGGAGGGAGACGAGCAGGCCCGGCTGTGCTCCAGAATCACCCCAACCCCAACATCCGCCCGAGTCCTGCTCAGGCGAACCCAAAGATTCCGCTGCAAGTAAGAGGCCGGCCTGGGGGTCCGGAGTGTTCCACCAAGGCCGCTCTTTTCTGGAGAAGGGGTGGCAGCCGCTGACCGTCCGGTCCGGCCCCACGTTCGGGGGCCGCCGTCTCGGCTCCCTCCCCCGCCCGCCCGCCCCCGCCGGGATGTGGGGGACCCGACGTCCGCCCCGCCGGCCTCCAACGCGCGGCGCGTCCCAGGCCTCTGGACAAAGCGCCGGGCACAACCCCCCGGGTTGGGGGAGGGGGTGTCCTGTCAGGTGACCGAGGACCCGGATGCCCCCCGCCCCCGGGAACCCCCGGAGCCCGCGCGGGGGCGGGGCCGGGGGAGGGCCCCAAAGTTCGCCCGAGCGGCTCCCGCGGCCGGCCGGGGCGCGCCGGCCCCCCCGCGCCCGCGCCCGCGCCGCCCGCCCCGGGGAGGGGGCGCACTTACTGGCCCCCTCGATCTTGTCGGCGCCGCGGCTCCACGTGATCTGCCGCGTCTCCAGCTTGACCTGGAAAGTCTTCCGCTCGGGCCGCTGCGACTTCTTGGAGTAGAACAAAGTCATGACGGTGCCCACCTCCAGGCTGCGGCAGAGGTGCAGCACCTCGGCGTCCGAGGGCGCGCCGGGCCCGCAGCCGTTGGCGCAGGGGGGCGCCGCGCCCGCCATGGCTCCGGCCCGGGCGCGGCGGCGGCGGCGCAGGCCCGGCGGGCGGGAGCGGGCGGCGGCGACGGCTGAGGCGGCCGCGAGCGGGCCCCGGCGGCGGCTCCTGCGGGGAGGCGGGCGGGGCCTGAGCGGGGGCGGGGCGGGCGCGGGCCCCGCCCCGGCCGGCGCCGGGAACAAAGGCGCCCGCGCGCCCGTGGGGGGACCCCCGCCCGCCGCGCCTGCGCCCCGCGACCCCCGGGCGGGCCCGGGCGGGGGCGCGGGGTGCCCGGCGGCGGGGGCGCGCGCGCCCGGCCGCCCCCGCCCGCCCGGCGCGGCCCCGCACCCCGGCCGGCGCCGCCTCAGCGCGTCGCGCGCGGCGAGCCTCGCGCCGCCCGGCAGCCGCTCGCACATGCCCGGCGCCGGCCCCCGCCCGCGCAGGCCGCCGCGCGCCGCCTCAGCCCAGCCCGCCCCGGCGCCGGCCGCGCGGCGGCCCGGGCGAGGGAGAGGGCGAGGGAGAGGGCGGTGCGGGCGCCCCGGCTCGCCGGGCCGACCCAGTTACCTGGGCGGCTGCCCGACGAGGAGCCAGGCCAGGCCCGGCCGCCTCACACCCGCGGCGGCGGCGGCGCAGGCGGGTCCTCCGCGCGCTCTCCCGGGAGGGTGGGGGCGGGGCCGCCCGCGGATTGGCCCGCGCGCTCTGACGGACAGCGGCCCGGGCCCGCCCTCCGCTGGCCGTGCGGGGCTGCTCCGCAGGCCGCCGCGGCGCCGCTGGCTCTCGCCGGTCGCGCCCTGCGGCCAGTGTGGCTTTCGGAGGGGCCCGGCTTTCGGAAGCGCCCCCAGGCCTGAGCATCCTCTCCGCGGCTTTAAACCCCGGCCGCGCTGGCTGAGGCCTGACCCACAGCCCCCGGGGGCCTCGGTCGCGTCCCTGGCGTGGGCCACTGCCCAGCTCACGCGTGTCGTTCCCCCGGGGCAGGGCTCGGCCCAGCTCCACCTCGCCGCGCCCCTCCTGACAGTGCTCTCCCGAGCTCTGGCTTTCCTGGCCCGACTCCCCTTGTTTTCCGCCTCCCTCTCTGGCCGCTGCCTTTTGGCCTCGGAAACTTCTCTTCCTCTGGTTTGGGTCCCGAGCCAGTTCCCTGGACGACCTGACCTTTCTCAAGGTTTCACCCCACCCTGCCCCGCCCAGGCACCCTAATGCCCAATCTGTATCTCTCCTGCATTCCACTGCTGCTCCTCTTCCCCCGCAGCAGCGCGGGTGTCCTGCCTCCCTCCCTAAACTGCTCTTCCCACAGCCTTCACTCTCAGCACCTGGCACTAAACTCCTCTCAGGTGGAGGGTCTCAGACCCTTTGAGATGCCCTCAGTTCCGCTGAGTCCACAGCAGCCCATCAAGTCCAATTCACGCTACTGGGAGGTCACTCCACTCCACCTACAAGCCCAAGGTCCGTCTTTTCCTGTCCAGCCTGTTTACCCTCTTTGGTGTGGTCTGCATCTGTTTTCCAGGCCTTCATGTTTAGAATGAAATTAAATCACAGCCCCTACCTCCAGCCTCAAACCCTTCATGACTCCCCACTGCACCTGGTCTGGCAGGCCTTATGTGGCCTAGTTCCTTTCTCTCTGATTTCATCTCTCATCACCTCCTCTTCATCCTTCATTCTCCAGTCACAAGGCCTTTTGTAGTTATATGGATGATTCACACTCTTTGTCTTCCTGAAGCTGTTCCCTAAACTTACCCCTGCAACCCTGGCTCCTTGGGTCACAGAGCACAGCCTGCTATTGTCCCAGAGGAGCCTGTCTGAAAGATGGTGAACCAGAGAGAACAGACCACTTACTGCATTTCTGAGGTGAGAGGCCCAGTGAAAACTGGAGAAAGATCCAGATTTCCTGGAATTGGTGAGCATGTAAGAGCAAGCAACTTCCCCAGCTAGGGCGTAACTGATAGTGTCTGGGGGCTGTCTGTGACATGTATTGCTGTTGTAGTAAGTGTGTGTGTGTGTGTGTGTGTGTGTGTGTGTTTTGATTTCCCAAATGCAGCCCCAAGAAGTATGAAGAGGCTTTGTGCTGGCAGGCTTCAGCCACCTAAGGCGAGGTGAAGTGGCTGAGATGGACTGCCACCTAGTGACGGGCCTTTAAAGAGGGAGGGAGGGAGGGAACTGAAGCTGACCCCGTGTCTGGTGCCAGGCTGCAAGGCTTGTACCTGTGGTCCCACCTGATCCTCATGATTACCCTCTAATGGAGGAGTATTGTTCCCAATTTACTGAGGAGGAAACCGAGATTCGAGTTCTACAACTTGCCCCAGGGCCACATAACAAGCAGGGGTTTGAGCCCAAAGCTGCCTGAGTACATGTATTTTCTGCCTCACAAGAGAGCCATTGGCTTAAGTAGGGTCTGATGGTCGAGGTCAGTTAGTAGGCACGAAGCTAGCTGGCTGATGCGGGTGGATGAGGAGATGCCCTAGGCCTGGCTGGCCCTGGATGCAGGGAAGGCAGCGGATGGTCAGTGTCTGCGCGGTGTGGCTTGGGCTAGCTTAAACTTAAAGTGGTGCTGCACCTACGTGCAGCCAACTGCATCTCCCTGTGCCTGGCACTGGGGCCATGAGTTGGGATAATGAGAAACCCAGAAGCAGCCCTCCAGGGATTTAAACATTAAACAAATAAACACTGTTATGTGATGAGGGCTGCAGGGAAAAAGAACAAAAGCCTCTGAGAGAAAACATTAGGGAGACCTACATCCGCTCTAATAGACCAGGAAGACCTCAGCAGAGGCGTAGAGGATGTGAGTAGAGGGTCCAATGAATTATTAGGAGTGGTTTGAAGAAAAGTACTTTTTAGGCAGAGGTAACAGCATTAAAAAAATCCTGAGGTCAGAAAGGTGTAGAATTAGGTGGCGAGAGTTTACTGTATTAGGGGGATATTGGGCATGGTGGCAGTGATGAGGAGGCTGGGGAGGTGGGGACCGAATGAGATCCTCTTCCATTTTATTACTTTAAAAAGAGAGAGATTTATTTTTATTTGTGCATACAAGAACTGAGGTGTAGGCCAGAGGTGCGGGGGGTGAGAGGATTCACCAGAGGCAGAGTAGGGAGCAGAACAGGCTGATCTACTCAGATCTACTGAAATACACTGCTGAGGGGGCCAGCGGGTGAGACAAGAGAGATCTGCTGAGCATGTGGGTCAGCACCCTGGCTGGGGATCTAACTCACTAGCTTGATAGCACTGAGGACTTTAACCCCTGCACCACCAGGAAGGCCCCACCTTTTCAGTTTATTTTTAACCACTTTTCCAGGAGGCTGCCTCCTAAAATGCTATAGTCTTCTTGAGCTTCTTGTGACAAGTTGGGCAGCCTGTGGGCTGTGATGCACCTTTAAAATCAGTTTCTCTAGCTTCTGAGAGCTTCCCAACTTGCAATCCAAACATCCTTGCATTTGTCCCTGGAGGCTCCAAAAACCCTTGTTTTCAGTCTGCTGCCAGGCCTTTAATCAGGGAACAGAGCCTTTTTTCCCCTTGGGACTTCTGAACCAGCATCCCCAGGCCTCAGGTACCTCCCTTCACCAAAAGAGGTTCAGAAAAATCAGGGCATGCAGTGGGTGTGGCTGGTATGGGCTTCCCCGAGCTCAGCATATGTATGGGGACGTGGGTGTTACTGGCAACGCATGCAGCTGTGCTGGCTGGGAGGGAGCAGCCTAGCACCCACACATGGCACACGCCCGTGACAACACCCAGGCTAGTCCTGCTTGGGCCTATTTCTGTGAACACTCATGCTTTAGCACGCCCTGGCCTACACTAGTCCCTGTGCTGGGAGTCTGGGGAGGAGACCCAGCCCAGATGCCGCTCTGGCTATGTGGACCTGACCTCACACTTAGAAAAGCACTTGGAGTATAGTGGACGCTTCATAACTCCCCGGCACCCACACTGGCTTATTTACTTCTCATTATCAAAGCACTGTGAGGTAAGTGCTCTGATGACCCCCATTTTACAGATGAAAAAACAGCCATGGAGAGGCATGCTAAGATGCACAGCTAAGAGCTGGCAGAATGGGATTCAAACCAGGCAGGTTTCTGGCTCCAGGATCAGTGTGTATCCTCAGCCTTTTCCATAAGACCCTTACCCCAATGTCTTTTCTATTTTAGTTATCTGGTTAAATGTTGCCACAGGTTGGGTTTTTTGGGAAGCAGGCTCTGTGACAGAGGTTAGTGTGCAGAATGTTTATTAGGGAGTGCCCTTGAGCTCAACACTGTGGAAGGGAGAGGAAGGAAATAGGAGGGGACACTGGGAGAAGTTAACTGTGATGCAGGCCTGATAACAACCACAGCCAACCCCCCAAGGAGCTCTGTTGTGTGGAACTGGTCTGAAATGGCTGGGCCTTTCTAGCCCCACCTTTGTCAGCCATTGGATGGAGGCTGCCCTGGGAGGAGCAGTCTCTTGCCAGGCAGCTCTGCAGCCTAGGTGATCTTAGACTAACACAGCTCTGGCAGTAAGAATCTGAGTGGGCACGTCACCATGCCCGGCACAAATGTATTCTTTTCCAGTCCTTAAAAAAAGCTTAGAGTACTTAAAACAAAGCTTAGAGTACTTAAAAAAAAAAAATGTTGTACCATAAAAAGAGATATGCTATATAAGAAGGAAAATATGGGTTAACATGACTCCTGTTATTGAGAATCAAATGTGGTTCACTTCCTGGTAACCACAGCAAAAAGTCTTTCCATTCTGGTATCTGATTCCTTAGGGGAGAAAACTTTCCTGGGGTTAAATTATAAAATAAGTTTCTTATATGGAGACTTCTTTGATTGAAATAGTGGACAATGATCTTAATAGTATAACATATACTGATGCAGTTTTCACCTGTTCCTTGTAATGAACTTGTGTGAATACAGAAGGTGTAATAAAAGTGTAGCTCAGGGAAGGACAGTCCACCATTGAAGACAGGCAGGTTTATAGATTTGTGCTGTCAATACACTGTTCTTTAATTTCTACGTAGTTGGTGAAGTTAACGCTCTGACCAGCCCTCCTCTGGGGCTGTGAGCCAGCCAGTGCTTACTAAGTACTCACCTTAATGCCACTTGAGCTCTAAACTTGTGGCTCCAATTTAGTCATTGGGCCTCATCCTTCCCTGGGATGTACTGTCAGCCCCCCTATCCCCCACCCCAAAGAGCCTCCTGTTTCCTATCACTCCAGACAAAGCCAGGCCTCTCCACTTCCAGGAACTCTGTTGTCTCTGTAGATTCTCTTTCCCTTTGCTGAGGCCCCAGTAGTGGGACCCAGACACTGAGGAGGAAGAGCTGAGCTCCAGATGTACCTTTTTGGGGAGGGTGGCAGGGATGCTGTAGTTA